AACCGATACATTCGTACTCGGTTGATTTAATCCCATTATTATTATTACAATTATTAGTTGATGAACATGAGTTGTGATATACCAGTAAAATAGGTTGAATAACAACTGCAACGAAATTGTTCTTAGGATATAAAGATCGGTGTGTCCATAGACCGCTGAGCGAGAACTACTATATCAGATTTTCGTCATCTTTCTATACGCAAAATGAAACTAATAAACTGACTCTAGAAGACTGGGTAATTGCCAATAGAGTAATCTAACCGGCGAGTCACATAAGAGACTGGCCGTTTAGCGATGTCAGTAATCCCCCTGGTTTGGTGTGGTTATTTTAAAATTATTGGCGGAAATAGCAATGTTAACCACAACAGAGGTTAGGCAAGAGCTATTACTTTGTTTTTCATTGCTTACCCTTGAATTATTTCCGCGATCTTTTCGGAGCAAGACAACCTGCTGCTGTGAAGAAGAGTGATATATATGCGTGTTCACTTTATCTTCATATATACAAAATCCCAGGTACAAAACAAACAAATCTTTGCGCTCGATATCGGTATATCTCAACTAAAAGTGAGGAAATAGCGCTGATTATCTTACGGTTAATGCAGCCTTGCTTTTTTGATGCATATGTCACGGAAGATAACTAGACACTTAATAACAAAGCCAACTGATTTGATTTATTCTGACGCATCTGTCTTTGTATCTTAGATTAAGGATGTCTCCGTTCCGCCGTTGTCTTGAACCCTCCGTTTGGGTTAAAAACTTTATTTTACAGGTGTTGTAAATATACTGTTTGTGTATTTGTTGACAGTCAAGAATATTATCAGCACAATTATAGAGAAAGTGACCGCATTATAATGTTTCAGTAATGAGCAATAATGCAAATGACAAAGTTATACGTATATTTCAATTGCTAATGGCTGTGCAGAGATTGTCAATTAAAACCGTAGTATCGCATTCATATTATCTAAAATTTATGAGGTTAACCACCAAGTAAGTATAGGCATGTGTCCACGTTGGTGCTTCCCTGTAAAAATCTAAGGAATCAACCGCTTGTTTGAGCAACTAAGTGCTCTAAAATAAGCCACGTTTATGCAAACAAAATGTGCACAAGGCCATCGTGCAGATGAAGTTCCAGACGGTTTCATCTATGCCTTGTGAGGAAAGTTAAAATTGAACTGCCCAAAAAGTGTTGAGCGTAGCATTGTATAAGAAAGGGGATAACTGCACTTTGAACTCATGCTGTACGTTGCGATGGTGAAACAGAGTTCGAAAATGTGGTATTATTGTTATCTTATTATTTTTAATTTTATTTTATTATAATACATAGGATATTATTTTATTATTATATTATTATCATTATATTTCCCAACTGTTTGTCATTTCAGGCAAATTGCATTTAGTATATAAGCATAAAACTCTATTTACGTAAACTGAACAATCTGAAATACCCTTACGCTCATTGCAAGTTTTTAGTACATATGCAAAATCAGCAAGTGCATAGATATTTTAATCGTCCTAAGGCTCGGAAAATAAAATGCAATCTTGAACAACTGCTCAAAGGAAGTTTCATCTCTTCTGTTTAGAGGTGACTTAAGGTGTACTATGTAGCTATACACCCAGTTGGTTTAAGCTTGTTTACTTTGGTGAATCTTGCATTCTGGATATTAAGTTTCCATTTGTCAAATTCCTTGAGTAGTACTTGTGTTTGTTTATCCTCTGTGAACATGTATGTGAAGTGAAACGAATGTAGACACAAAAGAATTGTTCAAACTAAGGAAACACCATCGGTAAACTACACTCAAGTTGATTGCTATTGAACACTAATCAATGAATACAACAAGCAAGCTGCTGCCAACCCCCATCGTTAGTGATTCAAGCTTTTAGTTATGGAGCAAGATTTCCTCTCTTCCAGTACCTACGCAGTTTTTATCACCGTAAGTAAGTAACCACAACTAATTTTTGGTTACAAATGTTCTGATAATTTTGCCCTTGCGCGAGAACACCTGTTCTGATACTGACAGTATCTGCACAAATTAATTGAAGGCGGTTGCCAATAATTTGATTGAAGCACCATCTTTTTGTCAACATTATATTGATGAGAAATGAACAATGATTTATCAATGGTAAAACGCAAGTGCTTGAAAATCTCCGACAATGTGGAGTCCCAGCACCGTCACTTCCATTCTCAAGGGGAGAAGTCATGCAGACCCATCGGCTGCCGTCTAATAACATTACTTCCGATAAATTTCAGTTTCATGGAGTCTGTCTAGCATAACTCACACGTTACATGGAAAGATGCAATATTGTGTCACTAGAACGGCATAAAGATAGTCAGAACTGTTCGTGCGTCACAAACCGCTCACCTGCTCGCTCTATGTAGAAACACACAACACTACTTTACCTACACCTCTCCAAGGTGTCTGCTCCCATAAAACACCACATGTTGTTCTGCAATATTCTTATCTGTAGTGTCGGTATTCTGGCCCTAGTTTGGTCTAAGTAACCCGAGGTTTCAATGACACCCTATTGTGACTACTCGCAGCAATGTATCCAACCCTAATTACGTTCAGCATAAGTGATACAAAGCTCAGTGCTTGCTTTACGGGAATGATATCACGAGAGTGATCAACTGAGACTTCTTGCTCCTCGTTGATTCTCTCATACCTTATGATGTCGGTTGTTAACACGGTACCGAGAAACCATCAAGAACAACCAACCAACACCTTGATCTATTTTGGTATGTAGTGGCCCAGCTTTACCATTGCATCTACTCACAGCTGCTCTCCTTGCATATTGTTAGATACAGGATATGCTCTGCATGTCTAGCTGCATGAGAAAGACGCAGTCGAGATTTTGCTATGTCGCGTGACTAAGCATATGGTGGGGTCGTTCCAACTTCTTGACCGAAGGAGATTGGAGATCATGTGGATTAAAAGTGGACAACATGGGCATCTGCGTAGTGATTTGACGACCAAATATCCGCTTCCGAGTAACTCTGGACACGCTTGCCATCATCCAAAATTGTAACACAACAGCATATAGAAATACTATCAACAGAAAATGACCACACAGTATGGCCATTTGGAACACCACAGGCATTTATTCTCGCATCGTACGTGAAAAGCTCCACTGCCCCCCTCTTACTCTATGTCGTTCCTCTTATTTCTGATATGCAAAAATTCTATGATGATGCTGATGCGCGTTTAAGTCGAGCGATATAAACCTTTTCGACTGAGCATCAACATAAAACAAACAACTAGTTTGTTCAGTTTAACTCTGGTGAGTTCAACAACACATAATAAATTCATTTACCCTTTATGTTTTTCAACAAACACATGCTTCCATTCGTTAGTACATTTTAACACTGGCCACAATTCCCATTATTTCTGTTGTTGGCTGAAGCCCTAGTTTAGGAAGCGCATTGCCAAGTTGTACCGCAATTGAATGTCCCAGTTCGTGGTTGTAATGGATAAAGTATAAAAGATTCATCCTCTGTTATTCATACACTAACATTTCAGACATAATGCAAGCTAAATCTACCACTATATCCGTGGTTCCGATAGACATAATAAACACAATACGAATGTTGCTGTATAAATTGATGTGCCAAATGTATATGTTATAACGGGAATTTGAGACTGTATGCTTAAAATAGCGTATCAAAAATTGCAATAGCCGTTATAATAGATTATAAAAGCTCCATGAAGTACGTCAATGATGCAGATATTACAATTTGTATAAACCCATCGTTCGCAAAAGTGGGGTAGTTTTCCAGATTTTCATAAAGCAGTAAAACATTGCTGCTGCTTCTGATTAACGTGGCCTGACATCAGCTTTTATATACTTAACGTTTAGGTTAGTATGAAAAAAGCTAAAGTTTTCTGTAAGGGAAATATGTTGATGCGCAACAGATGCTGCTTATTAAGGTCTGTGGAAAATAACTTAACTCCTTGAGAACAGCTTTGAAGGCTTTGATTTTTAAAAGCATTGCATGGATAACGTCATTGTATATTGGCCGAATAAGAAGTGTTGTAAAGGCTTTTTACCTCTACCTTCTGCCACTTCCAGCGAGGTCACGGAAAGAACTCACACCGTTCTGGACACAAACGTTCTATATACAAGTATCAAGAAAGCACAACCATCTAGGATTTTAAAATCTCACTGGCCTACTCGCTCGATCGTCTTTTTCACCCCATTGAGGCACACGCTTTCCATGTCCAGATCGGCTTGCGTCTCTATTAACTTCCCCTTCAAATTTATTGCTCCTACCTATTTTCCGCACTTGCGCTTGATGGTTTTTTTCCTGAAATTCCCTGAAATTCCATTGTTGTCATCGCGCTTGCCTTCGTCTTTGAGTTCGCGTAAATGAGGTCGTGTGGCGCCAGAGCAATGACGTTCGACGTCGCATCTTGGGGAATGCGGGTATTTCCTTCAACCTACTGGTTTTGTTGCGCCAGTTGAGATGGCTCGGTCACGTCCTTCGCATGGCACCTGGGCGTCTACCGCGTCGCGCTCTATTCGTTCGTCAAGGACCTGGCTGGAGGCGACCGCGTGGTGGTCAGCCTTCCACTTGGCGGCAGCACATGAAATCGCTGACGTCGAGTCTAGCAACTGTTGGATCCGTACGTCTTCCAGGATGGGGACCCAAAGATGAGGAGTGTCAATGGCTTAGCACACTTGAAGATTTGGCCCGCAACCGGAACCAGTGGAAGAATTGTGTACAGTATTGTGTTGCTTCACATGTTTAATACTACAAACATTAAAATGACAAAAAAGAACAAAAGCGGCGTGAGAAAAATCAACTACAAAAGTTTGTTCTACTTTTTATTGAAGTGTTCCATTCTTCCTGTGGCATATTAGTTGAAGTGTGTTGCTCACCTTCAACTAGCATGCCAGGATGATTATGACGCGTTGAATCTTGCTTATCTGTTGATCTCCATGGTTTTATACTGGCTCTGTGGCTGGTTAATAGACTGTTGAGAATATATACATACATACAATACGAGCAACCTGCTGTGTTCCGCTTTTGGGACCAAACTGTACCCATGGTGGTTGTCTCCGCTTTCGCGTCGGCCTGCATTGTGTGTCATCGGCCTCTTGCATCTTATGTTGTGATCCACGTAAACGCTCAGCTTCGTCTTCCGAACAAAACGTGTCTAGCACGCTATCCCATGTTAGGGATGGCGGTTCTGGGGGACTCTGAGTCTTGTCGTGATTCCGCCTCAGCTGATTGGTGTGCATGATGCATTTCTCCTTTCCTAACTGTTCCTGTGGATCACTCTTCCAGTTAAGCGTCCCCTCGGTCCTCGGAAGTCACCTGCGTACACCACGTTCCTATTTATGAAATGACGCACGCTGTCTGTCCGCTTTTCCCCCGCATGATAACTGCAATGTTTTTCTTTCCTACTTGGCACAAGGCGTCTTCCTCTGGATACTGGTTTATTGACTAACTTGAGACTCAGGGCTGTACTGCTGGTTCTGCAACATTCAGGACCAGGATGGAGTACGTCTTCGTGGGGTCTATTCATCTGCGCCATCTGCCTGCTATAGGTTTCTGCCGTCGCATCGTCAGGTCTGATGGACACATCTGTTTTTGAAGTGGTAGTGTGGCAGAAGTGTTGCTCTTCCTTCACTTCCGAATTTGCAACCACACTTTACCAGAATTCAAGTTGAGCAACTGCTGGCATTCTGAAACAAGGTCTTTTGATGTCAGCTTCAGTTCTGATTCTTATTCGACTTGAATGTTTAACTTTTGTGATAGCAGTTTGATCAACTGCCTCTGTGACTTTTCGAACTACGACAGATGCTACTGTTGTGAAAGTGCATGCAATTGTTCGAAACAGACCGATACGTTTGCGTTATTCTGATTCCTGTCGCCCCGGTTGTAAAACGCTTCTTCTTGCCTCTACCCTCTGCCACTCCCAGCCACGTCAGGGGAAGAACTCACTCTGCTCTGCACTCTAACGTTTTATTCCCAAGTCTCACGAAATTACAAGTAGCTGGGTTTTTAAAAACTCACTGGCCTACTCGATCGATTGCCTGATCGACCGCACTGAGGCTGATGCTTCCCCTATTCAGCTTCGCTTATATCTCTATTAAAGTAAATGCAAATATATAAGGTGTCTAGATTTTTCTGCTAAGGTGTGCGCGAAGATATAATCTATGTTCTTCACTGTGCAGTGATAAGTGTTCTACACTTGTTTTATCCCATTTAAATCCCTGATTGTGGCATCAAGCTTTTAACGAAGCAATGTTTGCGTTATGAGATGGCAAACCTAAGCTTTTCGTTATGAAAACGCAGACGTTTAGTGATCCTTTCGGCTCCCAATAGGTAGTTACTGGAAATTAACCTTCTCCGCGTGCTTGGCAGATAGTGACCTTGGGACTACTATTCATTTTGTTATTGGAGTTTGGACGATGTTACTAGCGTCAAGGTAAGTATAACAGTGTTAACTTCGATCACGTCCATCAATTTTGTTATTACTTTTGGATCCAAATGGGATATCCGTGGATGTACTGATTTCTAAACACCTAGTGCATAATCGCTGATTATTTACGGGGAGCAAATCACAAAGTGTACATTCGTATTTGCAATAAGACAAATAGAGGACGTCTAGTATCACTCCAAACCAGCTGAGGCAGTGTAGAGCAATGTGACCATGACTGGCACTATAATTTGTCCAATTTTATTCCTCGTGCAAATGTTTTCTTCCTCGCTTACCACAGTTAAAATGGACATCTGGGCACTTTGTGCAAACTCCATACCAGGTGATGTGCAGTCCTACAAACTTAACAAAAGCTGGACTTTGGTTACAACAAGAAATTTACAAAGTTACAATGCATGTGCTGCCTACCTCCGATCGTAGTGTTCTTGCTTGGGTGATACACGTTCCGTTAGTTCTTTTCTTCGTCACTTCATCGTGAGTGGAATTTGATGAGCGGCTACTGTTCAACATATTGTACCATATGGGTAGTCGCATAGTCCTTGATCCTAACGTAGTTGTGCATAATCGAACATGCCAATTTGTACCCCCGCGATCACGCCTACATGTGTGGCCATTTAAATGACCAAATGATGACATCCGATTGGCCATACTCATAACATTCTGTCTATCAGATTAAATGCCTAACACTGGAATGCCTGGAACGGTCATTTTTACCCCTCAGCGCTGCTATATATGCATAATTTCTACATTCGAAAAAAAGTTTTAAAGATGTTTAATGAGTCAATATTTTTATTCGTACTTCATAGTTGTGAAGTTCCACTTCATATTGTTATAGTTTTAAAAACAAATAAACTTTGTGTACCTGCTACTTAGAAAGCTTGCAGGAAGCAGCCACAATGAGTGCACTCCTCTTATTCGGTTTTTGTCTTCCTTTTCAGACGCCCCCGTTATTCGCATTTGTTCGTAGGAAGAGAAAAGCTTTTGTGGTTCTACGATAAGTTACATCTGTCGAGCATAAGTAGTTTGGAGATGAGAATGAATATGATGTTACTTATACTTTTGCTATCCATGAGGCGCGGAATTTCAAGGCATCTCTATTAGTCGAACATCTGACAATGATACATTCAGAGAGGTCAGGGGTGACGGCGAAAACCATGAAATTGTGCAACTGTTTATGCATCTTCCAATGTAGTTCTCATATACAAGATTAGTACGTCGTGAACCCATATAGAGTCCTAAACATCTACGGTTGGTAGGATGTCAACACCGAATGTTTTCAAGGCAAGATCAGTATCAACTTTTTAAGCTAAGCAACGTGTGAAATATGGTGATCTCTCGATAGATTTTGACATCATAATTACTTCCAAGATGCTGGAGCATATACAAATATGTACTGAAGCTGAGGCCAGGAGAGTTGTAGTTGTCAGTTGTCAGTAAAGCAAAGGGGGTTCCTAAGTAGCATGCTTTCATTGGACTAGTTTACATCAAAGGAATTCTGTAGCGATAAACACGGGTGATGTTCCTCAGCGAACTAACTGGCCAGAACCGATTCAAAGAAATAATGGGGTTCCTTCGTTTTGATAGGTTAACTACTAGGGGTGAACCATTTAAGACTGGGAAGTTTGCTTTGTTTTCGGAATTATGGAGTGCATTATTTCGCAAATATCAGCAGTGCTCTGTGCTAGCACAAGACTTCACCATCGCGGAACAATTCTTTCCCACCAAAACCCGCTTTCTTTTGCTTAAGTACATGGCCAACAAACCTGATAAGTTTGGTATTAGATTTTGGATTCTGGCAGAAGTAGACAGTAGAGACCTCGTAAATTATTTTCTATACCACGGAAGGAACAATCTCAGATGCGTGGAGAAAGCGGTCCAAAGACCGTTGTTATGAGTCTTCCGTCACCATTATTTGGGAAGGGCTACAATGTCAAATGTGACAACTCCACATTGGCAGCATTGGGAACAATACCCTCCAAAGAAAACACAAGATTGGTAAGAACTATTCGAGCAAATAGAAGGGAAGTGCCTACGAGTTCCAAGCAAAATAGAGTTGTCTAGTTCAGGTGTTACGAAGAATAAATACAAGCACACACCGACTTCATACCAGTGCAAAAAGGAATAAGAATGTTTATGCATTCAGTTCCTAGCACAGTAACTCTTTCATTCAAGTCTGGAATGAAACCTGAGACTGCATTGCTGTACAACTTTACAGATTATGGAATAAATATAATCAGAAAACCGGTAAGTGCACTTATTGTTTCCAATAATTATTAAGGAAATGGAATTGGTAGGCCATAATCCCTGGATAGTTTATAAAAGTGCGTCTTGAAGTAATAAATGCTGACGTCGACATGGCTGATTGGGATAGCGGAAGAAATGTATGCGAATACGCATGAGATAGGAAGGTGACAACTGGACATAAGTCAAACGAATTAGCCTAATGGGACAGCAGTCAGACTAGTAGTAGTCAGCAGTGTCAGATTGGATAATGTGGTGGCAACACGTAGTGAATATGCGCAATGTATAGAAAAAGACGGTTTGTGGCTCAACTAGGTAAATTATATGCTATAAACTGAGTGGTGGGTAATTTGGAGTACAAACTGTATGCTTGCATTGGGACGCGCAATCTGAATGAAAACCGCCATTCACATTGAAGCGAACCTTGGTTAGTGCGATAAATAAAACCGTAACCGAAGCACATGGAATCCGGATGTGCCCACCAGAAAACACTACCCAATCACGAAGCGATTCGACGAAATTTTCTTTTATTAGGTGAAGTTAGCGGGAGTTGAAAAAGCGACCATTGGAATAATAGTCGAAACTTCTACACCTATGGCTACGGGATTACGACGAGCAACAATTAACACAACTGACAGCCACTGAATGGAGGGTTATTTCCAGTACATGTTGGGTAATTGGATTGCGAAGCGACATATCAAGGTAGACTGCGATCCACATTGCAGTGAACCTTGGTTAGTGTAGTCATTAGGACCGTAGCCGAAGAAGATGGAAATTGGGAGTTGCCAGCCCGAAAATACCGCGCAACCAGGAGTCCTTTCGATATCATTTTCTCATATCAGGTGGAGATAGAAGGCATTAAGGACACGACTATTGAAAAGTGGCCGCAAACAATACCCCATGGCAACCCAGTGTCGAATAACAAAGCTTGAAACAATGATTTTTCGCACAAAGTACATGTGACCGTATTAACCAAGATTCACTTCAACCTGAATCGCGGTCTACATGGAGATTGAGCGTCAAAACGTGTGCTCTAAACGACCCTCCATTCCGTCGTTGACCGTTGTGTCTAGCGATGGCTGTCGTGACACGGTAGAAGGAGGGCTGGAGGTTTTTGCTACTATTCTAATGGTGGCGGGTTTAAGGCCTGCCATCTACACCTAATGAGATAAAATGTTATAGGAACACGTCGTAGTTGCGCAGTGTTTTCAGGCTGGCAACACTAAATTGCAATCTGATTCGGCTAACGTTCTGGTGATCGCATTAATCCACATTAACTTTAATGGGAATAACGGTCTGCATTGTGATCGAGCCTAGTAATCCAAGCACACAACTTGAATATATCCAACACAAAATCCAGTCGTTAACCGTTGTGTTATGCTTTGCCTACCGTGACCAATTAACCAAAAAGGGTGAGGTTTCGGCTGCAATCTTAAAGGTCGCGGGATTCGGGTTACTATCTTCACTTGGTGGGATAAAATGATATCAAAACGCATCGCAGTTGTGCAGGTTTTCCGGCGGGAAATACCCAAAATACATCTACTTCCGGTACGG